AAGATTTTCAAGTAAAAGATTTTAAAATTTTTAAAGTTCACAAACATCTTATTAGAGGAACATTCAAAGATGTTGATCTTTAAGACCTTCAGACATAATTTTGATTTACGATGTTATATCGATTGATTCCTTATTTTTTGACTTACGGTGTTATCCTGATCGATTCTGTAAGACCTCTGGGCATGATTTTTAAGACATTCAGGCATAATTTTGATTTATGATGTTATTTTGATTGATTCCTTATATTTTGACTTACGGTGTCCTCCCAGTCGATTTTTTAAGACTTTCAGGCATAATCTTTAAGACCTCTGGGCGTAATTTCAATTTGCGTGTTGTTTCAATCGATTCTTTACTTTTCGACTACGGTGTTGTCCCGATCAATTCTGTAAGATCTTCGGACATGATTTCTAAGATCTTCAGACATGATTTCTAAGATCTTCAGACATAATCTTTAAGACCTCTGGGCATAATTTTGATTTACGGTATTGTCTCGATCGATTTTTTTATTTTTTAACTTGCGATGTTGTCCTAATTGATTCTATAAGACCTCCGGACATGATTTTTAAGACCTCCGGACATAATTTTGATTTACGATGTTGTCTCAATCGATTATTTATTTCTCAACTTACAGTGTTGTCCTGGTCGATTCTTTACTTCTCGACTCATAGTGTTGTCCCGATCATTTTCTTTAACACTTGACTTGTGGTTCAAAACAAAAAAAAAAAGAAACTTTTGAAAAATTCACTATTTACTTTCGGACAAAATTGATGTCTTTATCTTTGTCCTATTCTTCATTCTCAATAATGTGCAAAGAGGGACAGTTGTAAACACCAAATTTTATCTAGGTCTACTAGATTAATTTTTGTCTTCAAGTTTTGTTTATTAATATTTTTGATGTTGTTATAAAAAATAATAATTAAAAAAATAAAAAAAATGACAAAAAAAATTTAAAAAAAGACAGAAGTGGTAGTGGTGCCTTACACGGCACCATTAGCCAACTACCCCTGCCAACACCACCTTAGTAGCCACACCCATACCCTACCAGCACCATGCCCCATACCCTAGAAATACACAAAAAGCCCCAGCTCTCCATCTCCTTAAAGCTCTTGCTTTTTCTCTCTTTCAGCTCTCCTCTCGGACACATCATCGAACACAAACTCAGATGCCCAAAACCCTCAGCACCTACACTTAAACTAATAGCCACCACCAGAAAACCCCTTCAGACCTCGGTCTCCATGCCTGCACCCAAAGCCTCGGCACCCAAACTAACCCTCAGCTTGACCTTACCCTAATTTCTAGCCTGTACAAATGCACACACACACATACACTCCAAAGTTCTCCCTTATCCCTACCTATTAGAAAAAAAAATGAAAAACAAATCCATAAAAACTAAAAAACAAAACAAAACGCAGTTTTCTTGTAGGGAGGAACCTCAGGTCCAAAAGCCACCTGCACAAAAGGAAAAAAGATAGTTAGTGTGGATTTAAAAAAAAAAAAGAAAACTCAGGAACTTTAAACCTCGATGCATGTCAATCGGGGTAGTTTCTCATAAAAGGATGATAGAATCTAGAATGAGGAGGTCGAAGAGAGCTTTCAGAAGAGTTTTGACGTTTTTTTGACAATCGGTGACCATCGGCAGCGACCGTCGGCGGTGACCCAGACGACGGTTTATGTGGTGGTCCGACGTTGGATTCTGGCTAAACCAGAGAGTTTCTGAAACTAGAGGGACATTTTTTTTTTTTGAAAAGAGGATGAAATGAACTCAAAAAAAAGTTGGCTTTTATATAGAAAGCTAAAAGCAAAACGACGTCGTTTTGATTTAAGGAAGAATCCGTGCATGGACCCAAATCCGACTGAGGATCCGCGTGTCCGACCTGCCTACCCACTTCAACCAGCCTTGAACCGATCCAGACGAACCACCAGTGAACCGGTTCGAACCAATTTGAATCGTCAAACGCCGAGCTGATTAAACCGGTGTTGATCGGTCCGATTGAAGTATTTTTTTAATTTTTTTAATATTTTTAAAATTTTGAATTTTTTTTATATTATTATTTTTATTATTTTGAGCTTTATTTTTAATATTCATGCATGATAATTTTTTTAAATTTGTTAGAATAAATATTTAATTATTTTTAATAATAATAAAAATGAAAATAAATAGGATAATAATTAAAAAAATACTAAAAATGCTTAAATAATAATAATAATAATCTAAATAATAATAATAATAATAATAGAATATTTTTATTTTCCTTGCATAGATGTTGGAGGGAATAAAAAAATATAATTTTGCATAGATGTTGTGGAATTATATAAAATTTTTTTTAATAATAAATTTTCATAAAAAAAGAGAGATTTTTTTAATTAATTTTTGAAAAATGATAAAAAAATCAAACTTGCTCCGAAAGTCTGCCTAGATATTAGAGATTTTTAGAGATGTTTGCTTTTAAAATTCATTAAAATTAAAATCAAAACCTAAAATTTAAAAATCCCTAAACCAAAACCCTAAATTGAAACTCTAAATCCAAAACCCTAAAATCCAAACCCCTAGAATCCAAAACCTTAGAATTTAAACCTTTAAATTCAAAACCCTAAGATCTAAACCCCAAAACTTTCGAAACTAAACCCAAAATTTCTAAACCCTAAAATAAAAACTCAAAACCTCAAACTTTAAAACCAAAACCCTAAAATCTTCAAACCTTAAAATCAAAACCTTAAACCTTCTATACCTTAAAATTCAAGCCCTAAAATTCAAACCCCTAAAGCCAAACCCTAAATCCCTTAAAACTTAAACCAAAACCCTAGAATCCAAATCTTCAAAATCTTGAAACCCTAACCTTTAAAACCTCTACCCAAGGCCTTACTCAAAACCATTCGAAAACTCTAAGGATACGTATGAAAATCTCAAGTTGAGTAATTTGTTTCTGAATGCTGCCTAGATGATGGGGTATTTAGGAAACTTTATTCCATTAAGTTTTTCAAATGAATCTTTAATTCGATTTAACAATGGAGTTAATAATTGATTAATAAAAACATATAATAATAAAATGGGATCTTAAATATAAATAGTCACACCTAAGCTCTGCCTAAATGTTGAAGAGTCAATGTGATCTCATTATATTTAAGAATCCAATTTTTTGTATTGCATAATATTCATTGGCATACATACGTTATCATGTTATCATTGGCAATCATTTGCATTCTTCTGTCTTTAAGTTTATTTATTTATTTACTACTTGGTGATAAAATATTTTATAATAAAAAGGAATAATACATTTTTTTAAAAATTTATGATATTATAAAATAAAATAAAATAAAAATAACCTTTCGAAGGAAATGATTCTTGGTACTCTACCTAAATATTGGAGAGTCATCAACAATTATCTTCTATAAAGAGTGTTGTTTCATTTTAAGGGATATTGTATTAAATCTAATGAAAAGAGTTATCTTAAATTCTGCCTTGATGTTGGAGAATTTTAAGATAATTATTTAACTTAAAGATTTTTTCAATATTTCTAAATAAAAAATTTTAGCAAAAAAATATAATTTTTTAAACGAAGGGAATTAGTATTAAATTTCAAGTCAAAATCATTTTATCCAACATCGAAAATAGTGCATGATTAAATGGTACCAATTTATGAGCATTGTGGGGGTGCTAATCCTTCCACACACGTAACCGACTCCCAAACCCAACCTAATTTTCGTAGATCAAAATTTATCTTTTTGATAAACTTTAAATCCATTTTTAGAGTTTATTAAAAAGATAAACTTTTGGGTGACCAATCATACCCTAAAACAGATTGGTGGCGACTCCCCTTTTATTTTTCTCGATCTTAAAATACTTTACGTCTAGCGGTCCTAAAACCGTTACAACACTTGTTAATGAAAATAAAAAATATTAATAGAAAACTTTTATAAAAAAAAAATAAATTTCTTAATTTTGCAGCATTTGCAATTAAGAATGCCGTTAAATTCTAAATTTAGTAACGTTTGTATCATAAAATGTCACTAAAAGTAGTGACATTCTTATAAAAAAAATGTCGCTAAATTAGTAGCGTTGTAATCATAAAACCACCATTTAATTAATGACGTTTTTTTTTTTTATACAAATACCGTTAATTTAGTGGCGTTTTATCATATAAACATCACTATATTAGCGATATTTTTTTGATACAAACGTCACTAAATTAGTAATGTTTTTTAGATACAAATGTCGCTAAAATAATAACATTTTACAAAAAAAAGTCGTTATTTTTTTTGACGTATGTATAGTCGACACTCTTAGTGGTGTTTCTTGCAAACATCACAAATTTTTTAATAGTGTTTATAAATGTCATTAAACGTTGAAACAAAACGTCACTAAAAACTTAAACCTCTGTGGGGTGATTGTTGAAGAAGTCTTTTTTAACAATAAATATTTTAAATATTCGTTTGTATAATTAAATAAAAATGAATGATTGAATGATAATTTAATTATACATATTTAGTAAATGTACTCAAAAGTATTGATAATAAAATAATTGTACAATGTTGTTAACAATGATAACTACCGGATGTATGAGTTTTAGCTTTTTAGTATTGGTTTTTATAATTTATTTTATTTAAATTAAATTCTCACTAAATAAAATTACTACTGTCACTGTACTCATAATTAATTTGCCTTTTTGTTGGGGTAAAAAAGTTTAATGTGCATGCCAAAAAATGTTGAAAATGAGACCCCAAAAACTTGACGTTGAAAATGAGACATGACAGCTCCCGGTCGAGTTATTCGCAACGAGTAAGAAAACTGGTTCGGAATGCATTCGAGGACGTAAAAAAGTTATAACCACATTACTTGATTCCAAGCAAATAGCAATGCCCCAAATTGGCCCCTTCTGAAATAGAACTGACTGTCAACTCAACACATGGTTGTGTAAGGTGATTTTGTAAACTAATAAATTCTTGACTACCGCACGTCGTGGTTAGAAAAGCTGTCTTCTTGTGCAATAGCATTACAACATTTGTAAAATGGCTCCACTTGACAGTCTAACAAGTGTCTTGAGTAGTCAACAACTTCACTGAATAATATTGGACAACCAATCAGGAATCTGTTTTCAGCCTCTTCTTTCATCTATCTGTATAAATACCGTGAAAAATTAACAATCCATGAAGCTGAGAAATTTGCTGAGGAAACTCACTTTCTTGAGAAAAATTGGTTGCTAGCTAGCTTAAGTCACTATAAAGCCTCTAATGCCCATTGATGCCGCAGATCTACATCAAACTCAAACATCTGCTTCCCACATAATTGAAAAGACCCCGCTTGATTAAAACAATTATGATCATCGGAATGCAACTAACAGCCTTAATTATCAGTAACATTAGGACTCTTTGCTTTGCAGATAGGGCTAGAGAAATAAAATCTTAGCATTAGAAGAGGCCCGGGAAAACCCCATCATTTGTGACCTAATCTTTTGTCTTCGTAGGGAATCTCTGTAGTTGCAGTGTCCTGAGAAAAGAGTAATTTCTTGCAAGGCCTTTCCATGCTTCAACAAGAACTTTGCTAGACTAACTTCATTCTCACATTCTAAGAATCCATGGATCTTTACTACACTAAGGTGGTTTAGGAAGGATTTTAAAGTCTGGGTTTGAGATTCCCAAAATTGTTCTTCCTCTGAGGTAGCCATGTCCCACAAGTCCTTATTCCATTTCTGAAAATTAGTGAAAAAATGATGAAATGAACAGGTGAATTAAATTGAACATGAAATAGGCAGCTTATATCCAACATGAATGAAAAAAATGAAAGTACTTAGTGGCACTTACTCTTCTTTCAATCTTGTAATCATTTACGATTTTGAGAATTAGAGTGTGTAATGTGGGAGAGCTCTTGAATAGATAGGCTAATCCGGGAACGTTATGTTTGTTGAGGCAAGTTTTCAGCTCCAGAGATTGGAGATTGCTGAACATATTTGTGATATAATTCTTGCTGGACAACATCTGCTAAATTGAAAAGTTACAGGTCATGTAATTGATAATGTATTAAATATAAATTCATATTGTTTCCAAAAAATCTTGTTAGATGCATAAGCCCAATGGTAAACATTTTAGAGTAACATATAGGCGAAATAAATCAACTTAATTAAGAAGTATTACACTCTATAACTACTAGTTGTGTTCATGGACAGTCCCCATGCATCAATAATTGAAAAGAAAATGTACCTCAACACATTTGCTTTCAAGTGTTAGGCAATGTGCCCGGGAGAGTCCTGATAAAAGATTAGATATGCTATGATGCTTTGCTACACTTGCATCTTCATGAAGTACAAAGAAACCAATGGAGGCCTCATGCACCGAAATCAAATTCTCTAAGGAGCTATTTTCAGTGATGGCGTTATATTCCCAAACCATAATTCTGAGGCTTGGAGCATTAATCTTCACCCAACTCTCATCACAATAAGCGTCAAAACAGCTTGCAACTCGCAATCTCTTTAATTTGGCTACGGAAACATCCAGGGAATGTAACTGGAAACAATTTTCTAGGGTCAAATCTTCGAGGGCTAAGCAACTAATCTTAAGATGTTTCAACCCAAAGCAAGCATCGAGATTCAACTTCTTGAGGCGAAGAAATGATGAATCCGTAAACAAATCCAAGAGAGAGGGCTGGCTGTATAAAATGACGCGGGAAAGAGATAACGTGTGGAGTGAGCAGAAACCACCTTTCATAAGCTGTTGTGGAGGCAAGCGGAAACCAGGATAACGAGATCTCAATTTGAAGACCCGCAAAGATTCACTTGTAATAACACTTCGGGGAAAATTAAAATAATCATCCGTGGCCACCTCAGCGTCTAATTCCTGCACATTTTGCCTTATGGCACGACGGATCAATCCGTTTAGACGTGAAAAACTCACAGAAGCACGGAAACGAAGGATCCTTAGATCCGAATGCTTGTCGCGGAGAGCTAATACCTGGCTAATGAAGTCCATTCGTTTAGCAGACCAAGAATGCGTTAATGATCTTTTCTCATTACTTGGCTTGATATTTGTTGAAGGAACTCCGATTGGGTTAATGGACGTGAAGTCAAGGTCAGGGAAGGATGACCACAAAGATCTCCATCTTTTAGATAAGACGCTGGTTTGTGCTATGGTTTTGATAGGAAGATGGAAAAGAATGTGATGGAGAACAACATCAGGAAGATCACTGATCCTGTCAATCCCATTTTCGCCTTCAAACCAAAACTTCTTTCGCTTTGCAGATCTTGTTTCCATTGAAACGTTGGTATTTTCCTTTTTTTTTTTCTCCTTTTCCAACTTTTTTTTCTTTCACTGAAATCTGTCTTGAGAAACGGTGAGGCTAGGGTTTGAATTTTTCAAAAGAGTGAAGTGAGATGAAAACGAGAAAAGCGTTTGAGTTTGTTTCAAATTATAACTCAGATAAATAAATAAATAAAAATTCATTTCACCACATGTTAGTGTTGTAGTATGTTTTAAACTATATTATCATTGAAATTTATTCAAATGTCATGGTTAGTGCGCTTGTTCAAGCTAAAGGTTATATTCGAGGAAGCAGTAATTTATTTTGAGGGAGGTTGAGCCGGAAAGCCGAAAAGACCAGGTGTGTAAGGCCCGCACCCAAAATCAAGCTATAGAGGCCAAGGACATGGGATCGAGCCCCATGGTAAGCAAGCGGGCAACGAGGAGGACTTTAAGTGTGAGAACACTGCAACAAATAAAGCTTAGAACCATCTAAATCAGGATGGAATCCCAGATGTGCAAAACTCCTCGGTCCATGTAACATTAGGACTCTTATTTAAAGTAAGACTCTAGAAGAGCCAATTCTTTTGGCTCAATTTCAACCTGTGACATAAGGGCAGATGTGTAAAACTCCTCGGTCCATGTAAGACTCTAGAAGAGCCAATTCTTTTGGCTCAATTTCAACCTGTGATATAAGGGGTTCACAGCTATAAATAGAGGGTTATCATTGAATAATACACTTATACTCTTGTCTTATTCTTTTTTTTTTTTTGTTTTTAACTTTTTATTTTTTTTTAATTTTTTATGCAACAGTTTAAGTTGAGAATAGCAGAGAAGGTTTGAGTTTGTTTGGAATCTCTTAAATAAATAAATAGAAAAATATTTCACCGCATGTTAATTTTATAATATGTTTTACTCTATATTATCATTGAAATTGATTGAAATGTCATGGTTAGTGCGCTGGTTCAATGCGAAAGCTTCTACTTGTAGTTTAAGAATACCAAAGCTTCTATTGAAGCAGGAGCTGTAGTTTAAGCGAAATTGGGCTGGAGAGTTAGAAAGATTAGGATGTTGTCCCACACTTACGGCCCAAACAAGCACCGAAAGCCGAGGACACGGGATCTGGAAGAATCTGAAAGGCCCAGGCGCGAGCGATGCATGTAATGGGCGAGCGGGCAATCAAGAAGATTTCAGATGCGTGAAGCCGGAGAATCTGGAAGGCTCAGGCACGAGCATTATAACAAACTAGTATATGGGGCCTGGTCTCGATCGATTATATATATATATATATATATATATGTATGTGTGTGTGTGTGTTGTGTGTGTTGTGTTAGATAATTGTAATTTTAAATAGATAATGTTAATTATTAAATAAAAAATTATATAATTTTTAGTCGGTTAATGCTTTAAATGTAAGGAGCAGTTAATTTGTACAAAAAGATGTCTATTTAGGTTATATAAGTGCATAAAAGTTCGTATAAAATAAATTAGTAAAAAAAAAAGCAGAACATACAACATGAAATCCAAGTAGTGTTTTAAGTGAAGAAAGAGCAAAATATGTGTACAGAGAAATATTTTAAGAAGGGTTCTAAGTGAAGAATGATGTAGTTTGAGAGGAAGAAAGCAAGGAGTTGAATAAAATTGCATAAATTGATCATTTCTTGTTTGATGATAACTCAAAAGTAATACTTTTTGACTGCATTGCAGTAAACAAAATGTTTTATGAAATTAATAAATAAAAGAGATTAATTAGATTTCTATGAGTTCATGAAGAAAATGGCTCATGCAGTTCAATTATGAAGATAAATATAGTATAAAATGTTGTGAGAAGATACAAAAAAAACTAAGAACTTGAATGTCATAACAGAGTCAGAAAGATTTAAAAGGAGAGATAGCTAAATTTACTTGTTTTGATGTTGTTGGAGGATAATTTATTAAATAATGACTTGAAAGATATTCTGTGCTATTATGGCAAATAAGCAGTAATTGTCAATCTTTAGGTGGCTGTCAATGACAAATTAATTCCAGTCTTGTGAGAATCTTTTGTTTCTACTATTGTAATGTACGGTCCAATATTTGTTATCTTAAACAAGTGATAAAGTAATGGAAAAGTTGTTGTTCAATAGATGTTTTTGACAGTAGTTTGGAATATACAATAAAAACAATATAATAAGAGGTTAATGAAAAATTTGAATGTATGTTTCGTTATATTATACAGTTATAATATATATCTAATTACTTACCAAGATGGTGTAATGATTGACATTTGTATTGGTCTTTAAGCAATGAAAAGTAAGAGAGTCGCAAATAGCCATTAATATCATTCTTTGCATAGGGAGATAGAGAAATATAATCTAAGTCATAAAATATAATGACTATTTTAAATGAATTGAGATAAAAAAAAATTGTGTGAAATTAGGATTTTACCTTCTTATTGGAGGATATCTGTTGTTATAGTAATGAATGCTTCATCATGCAGACATACTTCAAAAGTGTTAGCTTTTTTGTATGTAAAAATTAAAATATTTTGCTCCGTAAGATGATGTGCAATGTGATTAGGTTAGGATTTAATATATTTGTTGTTATTTTGGGGTAATATGGTGAAATTTTGTAAAGGGTAGGATTGAGAAGCTTGTATTAGATTGACAAATGAGAATTTTTTTAACAAGAACAAAGCAATTTTTTCTTTTTTATGAAAAAAATAAAGAAAGAAAATTAAGACCTATTTGTTATCTGATTAAGTTTTCCTTTTTTCTCAATTTTTAAAATTTTTTGTAATTTTTTTCTTGCATTGAGTGGAAATAACTAAAAAGAGAGTGTTGAAGATAAAAAGGCTTTAATAAAAAATTTTAAAAAAATTTTGAGGAACCAATTAATGCAGAACACAGATTCTTTACTACGGTATGAGAGTCAAAGATACAACAACCAAAGAAAAAGAAAAAAAAGACAGTGGTAGCTTAAGAATGCCTTAGAGATTCTTTTATATAGGCTATATAGATAAGGCTTGAAACCTCATAAACCAAGATAGAGCCCCATCTGAGTAAAACTCTCTAAAAGCCTCAACCCCTGTAGCATTAGAACTCTTTTGTTTAAAATAGGACCCTAGAAATGCCGTCAATTTGTATCAATTTCAACCATTGATGTAAAGGGGCCTCAGCTACACAAAAGAATGTCATTCCACCTCATTTGTTACAATAATCATTAAGTAATATATTTATACTTTCGTCTTACTCTTTTTCTTCTTATTCTTTTTTTTTCGCTAACTTTCTATCAATGTGATTATGTAGCAGCTTGTGCGAGCTTGTGTGATTGTGTAGCAACTTGGGAGGATAGATTTTGAAATATTGAGTGCTTAAGCACCTTGATGATTTTAACATTTTGTTCGAGTAAATGATACCTTAAACATTGTAATAGTCCATTCTCAGGTTTAGGAATCGCACAGGAATGAAGCTTGAGTTTTAGCTGTGACAAAAACACTACCTTGATTTTGCATAGATGTGACACTTGAGTTTCAGCTTGCGAAAAACAGAAAAAACTACCTTGAGTTTAAAAGTTTTAACACGGAGAAAGAGTTGTGAGTCAAATGATAATCATATCGAGATTTGGGCATAGTAACACATATAATATCTAATTTGTATTATTGAGTGTCTAAGTACCTTGTTAAAGTATGAGTTTCGGTCCATGACAAAACCATTACCTTGAATTTAAAACAATTAATTATACTTTTAGTAATTGAATTTTATTTTATAAATTGATACATAAATAAATAAAAAGTACAATTTATACTTAAACTTTCAAATTATATATTATATTGATCCAAACTTTAGTTTTGTTAATTATATAAGTTTATATATGTGATGGTTAATAAATATTATCAAGTTATATGTTTAATACATATATTATCAATATCTTTTTTCAATATAAAGTAAAAATATATATTTTTCTTCAACCATAAAAAAATTTCTCTAGAATCAATTAATTATTGTTCATCACTTGACACCATGTGAAGTTTTTATAAAATATTTAGCGTTTTTATTTAACAAATAATTTGTATATAATAAAATTATATTGGTTAGATATTATATAGATAAATTAAATTAATCATATTACAATTTGAATTACAGTGATATGTTATTTAAAATTTGAGGATGTAAATTATATTATTTTATTTTTTTAAATACCAATACATACATTTTTCAAAAGTTCCAGTACCAAAATTATAATTAAAAGGCTTTAACTAATGAAAAAAGATTTGACCAAAAATTGAGTGAAATTAACTGTTCGAAAACGTATATTAATAATCATATCAAGACTTGGGCATAGTAACCTCACATATAATATCTAATCTATTCTATTGAGAGTCTGAATATTTTTTTCGAGTAAAGGCTGATCTCAAAATATCGAAAGAGTTCATTCTTTGATTTAGGAACCACACACAGATCTATAACTTGAGTCTTGGCTCATAACAAAAACTTTATCTTGAATTTAAAAGGTTTAACCAATGAAAAATTTTGAGTCAATTCATTGTTTAAAAAATATAAGTCAGATTCACTGTTTGAAAACATATATTGATCATCATATTGGCATTTAGATATATTAATAACGAGAGTATATTACTTATAATAATTATATTATAATTAATTAATTAATTTTTAAAATTTTGTAAGATCCATCAAAATATTATGTAAAGTTCACTCTTATAAATGATAAATCTTCACATAATTTTTAATTATAATTGAATAATTGTAATATTATAATAAAAATGATTGTAATTGAGATGCTTAAATTAACCTCACATATAATATCTAACCTTTCTGGCATGAAATAAGGATTTCATTTATCGTATAAAAATTTCTAAAAGGTTCTTTAACTTTGTAATGTACATGACATCCAACCAAACTCTTGTTCAATCGTTTTCTAATAAGCTGGACGTTATTTTTAAGTTTTGTTTTAGGTAAATCATCTCCTTATGCTAAAGATACACTCCGTACATTGGGCTAGCGCACTAATGCATT